ATATATATATATATATATATATATGAAATAAATGTACTGTTTAAATGTCATACATACAGTTACTTTGATATTTACTGCAATTTCTGCAGGTTTGGTGGCTGACAGTGGTTTGACAGAGTAAGTCTGCATTTCATTTCATTTCATGCATTAATCCGTTTGACTTGTTTCAGTGGTCATTCCATTTCACTGTAACAGCTAATAAAATATGATGGTCAGCATGAACATGACCACACACATCCTCTCAGCACTATATCTGAGTAACTACACAGTTTGACAGGATTGTGTTTGACTGTGAGAGAGATCGACACGGCACCGTTTCAGATCCCCCAAAACAAACCAAGACTCCTTTTAAAAAATCAAGTTATAATTGTGCAGCTTTAAAAACAACTAAGCTGAAGTTATAATGGCAACATAAGTGACACATCAAACTACAGTTTGTATTTACTTTTGTATTTTCTAATTATTATTTTATTTTTGAATTCATTTCGAACTTATTGTCCAGGATGGATTTTCTTCTTTCAGATTAGTTTTTAAAGTTTTTGAAAATGTTTAATTTTAGTTTAGTTTTCATTCATTTCAGTGTTTATTATTCTAATGAGGAAATATGTCATCAGCGCAGGTATTACAATAAAAACTAAAGTAAAGGTTACTTTATTTTTTTTATTATTATTATTTTATTCCATTTTCCAAGTTCCAAATGTAATTTTTAGTTTAGTTTTAGGTAAATATAAAACAAACAGATGCAAACTCAATCTGAACAAACCAACAATAACCAAAATTGACCCGACAGCCTCGAGACACACAAGGGGAAACATAAAACATCAAATGATCTAATAGCAAAAAACACAAGCAACCTTTTAATCGCTTCTTTAACTTAACAGTAAACAAATACAAAATAACAAAGTATATAACTCAAGAATCAGAGAAGATTACTTTTGTATCTTTGACTAGTCATTTAGCAAAATGTGGCATGCACCAATCAGCACTTCCTGTAATATTCTAGGGCCCATCCCATGCTCACTTGATGCCAGCAGACATACCGACCTCCCAGCACCAGTAAAAGAGGGAAAATAAAACACAAGATAAATTTAACAATTCAGTATGAGGAATAAAAGCGAACTAAATGAGTGAACTATACAGGTCATCGGGTGTTCAAGATGGGCTTTACGGCTTCCAACAACTGCTCACACTGTCAGGCAAATACACCGGACAATTACATTCACGCTCTTTGGTTCTGTCCACCAGTTCAGAAGTTTTGGCGCGAGATATGTGAAGACTTATCAAAGTGTCTGAATGTAACGCGGGGTGCCGCCAGTGCATCGAGCCACCTGGGGGGCTCTTCAACTGTGGGGGAGGCTGTTACATCTTGCAGGAGCTTTCCTCTCCTCAGGAACTCACTCTGCAGGAGGGGGAGATACAGGAGAGGTGGAGGAAGATCTCAGCCTGGGCGTCTATTGTCTTGTGTAGTCTGGAAGATGAGTGGATGAGGGGTGGGTGCAGTTTTCTCTGTGGTGGGGTCGGGTGGGCTGTCCCGGGCTCTGTGGGGCCGGGCGGCGCTGCAACCCCCTTTCCCTGGGGGTGCGAGTATGGGGGTGCCTACTGGGGTCAGCGGGGGAGCTGGCCCCAGGGAGGGGTCACTTGCCCCTCCCTTCCTTCCCTCCCCATCTCCAGCTGCCTCCCTCTTCCCGCTCCACCACAACCACCCACACATGCAGGCCTTGGAGTAGGGGTATGTCACCAGGGTGCAGAGGAGGCTACCCCCCCCTGTCCCCTTCTGGCTGCCTCTGCCTCAATTTTATCCCACAACTTAGACATTCACATTACTCACACTCTCATTACACATACATATAGGATCTTGGGGGTGGGCACGATACACGGAATCCAAAGTACCATCAGGGTGTACACCCCACCCCTGGCGTCGTTGCCCACCTCTCAATTTAAATACACGTAGACATTGAGGGCTAGCAGGAGGGACCATGCGCTTACCTGCTGCTCTCTGGCAGGTAGCTCCATGCCCTCCTGGGTTTTAAATGCACCTTAGAACACACATGCATCAACACTACAATGAGCGGGTGGAGGGAGGTTTGGAGTCTTCTCTCACCCCCATTCTCTGCGACCTGCTGGAGCGGGGGGGCTAGGAGGAGGAGTTGGCCCCCCCTGGGCTTCTGCTCCGCGGCTGCTGAGTGACCCCTCATCTGGGACTCTCCTCAGCTCTTGTGGCCCCCCCCCCCCCCACACACACACACACACACCCTCTAGCAGATGAAGGAACCTTTTAAAAACAAGCGCGTCCATGCTCACAGGTGTACACACTGTGTGCTGTCGATCCTACGTGCTGCACAATAATGTTTAATATTTAGTATTTACTGTTATATTCACATAGATCATCGCGATGATGTTGTTTATTATATTGCTCTCTTTTTTTTGCTTGTTTTCTCTTTTTTCTTTCTCAGCTGGTGATTGATAGATGCATTTTTGTCTGTTTGTTTTTTGTTTTTTGCCCTTCTTCCCCGTCCCTCTTCCCCGCTGTTTTTCTTTCCCCCAGTCACGTCTGTCCCATGTGTAGCAAGTGAAAATAAAATAAAATAAACAGTAAAAGGTGAATCGAATAGACCAATACAGCGAGGCTGGGACGGTCCAGTTAGTAAAGTAAATCCGTTGGGCATCTTTCTTTGCCTTTAGACAAAAATTCTGATGCAAAAGAGCCAAACGGGACAGGCGGCAAAAAAAAGAAAAAAGAACTAAATGTGAACGCGGCAAGAAGATTATGGTTCAACATTTTTGTTTTCTTTATGTTCATGTATGTCGTGATGTGCAATGTGTATCAAAACTAACACAACACCAGTGTGTTACGTGACCTCTAGATGCACGGGGTTACCAACTTTACAGATGTGTAACTGTCAGTGACTCTACCACCGTTTGAATGGCTCAGCATGCTGACTTTTGGAACCGTGTAATCTTTAAAACTCTCGATACAAGATCAGACCATTTATTAAATATGCAAAGTGCAATTAAAGTGCACTTTGCATAAACTTTACTGCATTACATGTAGAAAGCAACTAGAAGCAACACCGTGATTACAGTGCATTACTGCACACACTGCATTGCACACAGAGCGAGAATTACTTTAATAATTTCCATTAAAACCTACTATGAAGTTGTAATTAAAGTACGTGTCTCTCTTTTAAGGAAATTTACATTTAATCCTAAAGAGGGAATAGACAACCCAGCGATGGTCATCACAGATGATGCAGGTACCCCGCTTGCCTGTGTAGTAGCCATTGGGCAAAGCCTGCTTGCTTTATGACAGCTCTCTTGTGTCTCTTCTGGTTCAGGCTCTGTGTGGACGCCCATCCCACGCTCGTGTATCCTGAAACGCGAGGATGGCGAGTTCTACGGCTTCCATCTGCGTGTGGAGAGGGGCCGTCAGGGACACATAATTAGTCATGTGGTATCAGGTGGGGTCGCAGAGCGTAGCGGCCTTCGAGACGGAGACAGACTGCTAGAAGTCAACAACTGCTATATTGATGATGTTCCTCACCCTGAGGTAAGACAAGCTTCCTTCATAGTTAAATAGAAACCAGAGAAGCAACACAAAGCTGTCTAACCGGATCTGTCACGTTTCCAAATGTATAAATCAGGTGGCTAGGAAGATAAAGGTAAGCGGACGCCAGTTGTGTTTATTAGTGCTGGATGGAGAGGATTATGAACGGGCTGTGTCCCGAGGTCAGGACCTGCAACGTCTGGCCCACATGGATGAGAGCTGCAAACCACCCAGGCTTTGTCACATCACCAGGGATCCTGTCTCAGGTCTGGGCATCACCGTTACTCCTTTGGAAGGTAAAACGTCTCCCTGTAATCACAAGAAGCCTAAGATTTGAGATCAGATGTCTGGGTCGAAGTCTGTGCAGTGTTATTCAGATGCTGCTCCTGTTTCGGCTCTGTAGGAGAGAAAGGTCGCTTTGTAGTGAACCCAGTGGCAGGAGGTGCAGCTGAAAAGGCAGCGGTGCGTCAGGGAGATCGGCTGGTGTGGATAGACGGAGCGATGGTGTCTGATCTCACACACTCCGCACTCAGCAAAATGGTTTGTGGACTTTTTGTAACTGTTTCCATAGATTTTGTCCTCGGAGTGATGCAGCAGATAATACATCAGGTTATCTTTGGTCTAACAATAATATCTCCATATATTTTATTGTAGATGAAGAAATGTGGTGATCACATCACCATCTTAGTGATCGACAGCAAGAGTGAAAAGAAGTACACGCAAAGGCGGCTCCCCGTCCTGCCCACCATGGCTACCCCTCATCAGCTACCTTATAGAGCCCGAACACTCCACCTGACCTCTGTGTCTGAGAGCTTTGGTTTTCTTCTACGGCTGGAGAAAGTGCCATCAGGACGCACATGTGAGATGATGAAAAATTGCTGAAAACTGAATCATTTTCACTGTTTTGCTGTTAAATAAACTGGGTACATATTAACCAACAGATCACGTCCTGCGTGAAACGACCAGAGGCAGTCCTGCAGAGAGGGCGGGTGTGAGGGATGGAGAGCTGCTGCTGGAGGTCAACGACGAGTCAGTGGAGTCACTGAAGCACGAGGAGGTTGTGGACAGAGTGAAGCTGAGCGGACGAGAGGTCCGTCTCACCACCATCACTCCCAAGGGGCTAGAGTTTTATACGCAGGTGGCCATCACTTACCACATACGTGCACTGCTTTTCCAGTTGATTCAAGTGTACATCGAGGGTGGTGCACCCATTTGGAGGCCACACCTGATACTGGGATATTGTTACATCTTTCCTTTGTTTTCTCTCCTGCAGCTGGGTCTGTCTCCGCTTCTTTTCTGTGAGGATGATGCAGCTGATGAAGGAAAGGAGAGTAGTGTGCTGACTTCTGTAGAGGAGAACTCGCCACCAAAGGAAACGCATGCCTCAAGTCATCTTAGACTCTGCTCTCTCCAGAAAGACCCTTTGGGATTTGGCTTTAAATTAGGCTGTGACCCACAGAGTCCTGGGACTTTCATCAGTCAGGTTTTAGTGTTCTTTTGCATAAACACACAGAAAAGTCATAAGCTTCAGTTTTGTGTCAAATCTTGTAAACTTTTTGTTACTCGGCCTCGTAGGTTGCTTCTGGGGGTCCTGGGCAGAGTGCTGGACTGCTTGTGGGTGACGTAGTGATGGAAGTCAATGGACAAAGTGTGGAAGGAAAACCTCTGGAAGATGTGACTATGCTTGTGGAAGAAGGTGGGCACATTCCTTCATTGCTAGTCACACATACGACACGCTACACCAAGATGGAACAGACTGAAGCACCCAGCAAAGATGTCACTCGCACAGAGGTGGCAAAACAGTTTTTAACTTTGTGTTTGTATCTCAGCAGGAGGAAGAAGATAACGAGATCTCAGCTTTGTGAGCGGAACAGATATAAACCTCGAAGACATTTCCCAGCACGATGCTCCCACTCAAGAATTCCAGATTTTAATCCTTGCCAACATTTTCAACACACAACTTCACTTAGATAGGATGCAATCAAACTAGAAACAAAATGCTTCACGGCTTAAACGACTCTCTGGTTAAACAACAACAAATGGCCCTCCCCCCTCCCATACCATGGTGGACTTGAAGCTCTTTCCCCCCACGTCCACTGCTTAAACAGTTTTTTGTGTTTAATGCTACTTTAAACACCTGACTGATCAAATTCTCCCATCACAAGAAAGATTTTTGAAAGCCTGAAACAGACCAGATGCAAGTACGAGAGCTCTCTTTAAAGGCATTTGTATCATATTTGATACATTTAATAGTTTTTGGGACTTGTGATCTTTTCCCCTGAAAAAGCAAAATGAATAACACAAAACATTCTTGAGCAAAGATTAAAAAACAAAAAGATGTAGCAAATATTGTGCAATTAAATCAATTTCATCAACACTCCAATAAAAAAATAATGATGTTCAGGCTTTATTAATAACACTGAGTGTTGCAGGCAGGATTGGACCCAAACGAGGTGAACTTAAGAAACTCGGTTTATTACAGGAAAATACGAAGAACAAAAACTAACGGAACTGGGAAAACAAATAAACTAACAGGCAGGCAAACAAAAGACACAGCGAGACCGAGGGTGAGCAGACATTAACAGTACGACAGAGAACGAAGGAAACACGGGGCTTATATACACAGGGAGTAGTCAGGGAATGGAAAACAGCTGGGAGGGATTGGACTGACGAGGTAAAACTGAACACTCTGACACCAGACACGAACCTTCAAAGTAAAACAGGAAACAAGAAACAATTTACAAGGACGCAGACTGACACTGATCTAAATCTAGAATAATAATCAAAATAGCACAACTACAGAACCAAAACATAAATCATAATACAGAAATATACCAAAATATAAGAAACTGACCCAGAACCGTCACAATGAGGAGAAGAAATCACACTTTTGTTGTGGCTTTTCATAACAGGTGAATTCTCCAGAACAGTCCCACATATACGATACACATAAAAGTAGAAACACAATTCAAACTACAGTAATACGCACATTTTATTGTATTTTTTCTAAAACAACGTTTATCTGAAAATGTCATTTACATCAGTGAAAACGCACTTGGAGTGCAGAGGATGCTTTTTCAGTGCCTGTAATGAACTGCACAGACAAAGACACAAAACAAAGAAAATGAAAATGATAATGAAGTTTCCAGTGATTGTCTCCTTTCAGACTATAATTCCCAACTTTGTACATCTACAAAAATTCTTTGGTCTAGATTTTCAGCTTTCCTCCTTCCAGCTCACTCATCCTCCCAACGTTTGATGATGTAGTTTTTCTTTTTAAAGAAAATAAAATCCTGGAGACTTTGTTTTGCAGCAAAACAAAACAGTAATCATTGTTTAACAAAATATGAACATTTTATTGGGCAAAATGAGCTACAAGGTGAAAAAAATCAAAAAGGAATGTTTCCATATCAGGAGGCTAATACGACTAATGCAGTTATTCATATATACACATGTGCTTCAAGAAAGCAGAGGATTAACCATACAAAGAAACAATATGTTCTATGTTTTTCTTTAAGCAAGACAAAATGATTAGTGAAACTAAAATATAACAGCTGGTCACTTTTAACAGGAGAAACCTTCGGTAAGAACCAGGCTCAGAGAGGAGCAACCAGGCTCCGGCTGGGGGTGAGGGGAGACAGGAAATGAGAAACAAAACGAGAGCAGAGAAAAACAGGACAAAACACACACGACAAGCGTTGATGACAATCAGCTGTGATGTCCAAACACACTGTGAGTGAGACTGAAACACTCAGTGCACTGAGCATCGTCCCATGATGCACTGAGCAACAGTCTTGGGCTATAATTCTTATCCAAGTGATCCATCAAGGAGGAAGGTTTAGAGTCTAATCTGCGTCTGCATGTCTCGGGATGTTGTCACCAGGATAAAAAATACTATTAAAAAATTGAGTTGGACTGTTCCAAAAGCCAGTGTCAGCCTCTCCCTGACAGCTCCACTTTATGCATGCTTATTAATCTGTCACACCATCAGTGGCTCGTGGTCACTTAATTAAAGCCTATGTACTACAGAGGCAGAGCAGCATTCAGTCCTAGCTGCCTTTCTTGGCAGATCTCTGCTTTCTCTGCAGCGAGACAGCTCAAAACCTTTTATCAGTCTTTCCTGACCTGGTGCTCCTATATAATCTGCTATGATGGGAAAAGCTTGATTTACATTAAAAACATCTTGTTGTCTAAATACCCTGAAATTTGTTGTTATATTGAGTCAGAAATGTAAAGAATTATAAATGCTGCATAGTATCGTCCTTAGTCATGAATGGCTTTCACTGGAATACATCCGTTCTGTACATACAAAGGGAACAACAGCTCCTGTGTTGCACTGCTACATTGTCTTATCTAATGTATGTTTATCATGTTAAAAGTCTGACTTATTATTCAAATGACCATTTTTTCAAAGAGAGAAAAAAGATAAAAAGTTGATTCTAATGATAGACTATCCTTTCAACATTTATTTCTGTACTCAGTTTAATTTGATGTTTAACTTATGTCCCATGGTTTAATAAAAATCACATTAAAATTATGTGGTGCTACAAGAAAAAGCTTTTGAGAATCTCATATGATTACAGCACGTCCAATCTCACCTGTTATTTGGAAAAATAATGCTGGGAGAGTCATTTTAGTCTTTGCCTAGCTCAATGCAGGAAGTAAAAACAGTCTCTCCAGAGGTGGAAGAAGATCTCTCCCACATGTTTCACCAGATATTACTGAGTATCAGAAGCGTGCCATCTCGTCTAACCTCACTGGTACCTGTCCTAGCCTGTGCAACAGGCTTCCTCCGTCTGTAGAGTTGCAGCAATAACTAATGCTTGCGTCACCTTTGCATCATCCTCTTATCACAAAAATGAGTGACCTTGTCTCATTTTTGCAAACATAAACTGAGCATAAAAATCGAGGCAATTTGTGTTTGTTTAGTCTTTTCTTTGTTGTAACTATGCTTCTTGGCTATAAAGGTCTTACTGCTGGAAAGCCCGTTTATTTCCCCTTCAATGGTGTCACGTTTGTAAGGAAAATGTGGGTTGAGCAGCAGAGTTGAGTATGTGGGCTGTGACCATGAAAAACTCTCGAATGTTCTCTGCCAATGCCGGACAGCTTATTCTGCTACTGACACTTGTTGGGTGTCATTTACTGAATTCTGAAGAATATCTGCAATTAAACGGTTTATTCTTTTAACAAATAGGGGCCTCAGTAACACGTGGAAGGACCATATGCAGCCACAACAGCCTGGCAACTCCTGGTCACGCACTGCAACTCAGCCAGTGTGTGACCAAGGTGGTGTTGGGTTTTAGTTCATTCCCAAAAGAAAAATTAAAAGATATTCTGTAGAAAACATCCAAGATGTTGGGCCTAAATACCCCCATCATGAAGTTTTTCACTCAAGCTTGTATCTTCTTCTGACTTCTACAAGTTCATTTTTAGTTTAAGCTCAAGCCCCAAACAGTCATTTTATCCTGTTTTCCTACAACAGAAATATTTCGACACTTACACGACACATGTTGACACTCACACTGTTCAATGCTTTTATTTTGAAATTTGTCGATCCAGGAAGCCAAATGGAAAACAAAGTACAGATTTTATTTGAAGAACAGAGTCAGCAAGTTTTTAGCCCATGAAACAGTTCAGCAAACAAAGCAACAAAAATGCGCTTTAGGAAGCAAAGTGTTTAAAATAGCGAATTACTGGTGAAAGACTCGCCCGAGTTTCCTTAATTTAATTTGTCCAGAAAGGAAACGTAAATCATGAGCCTGAGGAATGCTTGAAACTTTATGCAAAACACTCGTGGAGGGTGTGAACAGAAACCAAACAGCCAACAAACGGTATCCACTACGTGAAGAATGGCGCCATCTCGTGGCCTCCTTCTGTCACTACACCTTCAAAGATTTGTGAAAAATGCTTCAAAGTGACGTTTTTTCACCAGCAGAGCAGCTTCAGTCGATGACGTCACTGAAGAGCCAGAAAAACCAAGTTAACCTGTGACGTTCATCATCATCATCGTCATCGTTATATTTGGATAGTTGGTGGAGAAATGTCAGTAAACAGTTGGCAGCGTTCCTCGCAGCATTCAGTAGCGATTAGTCTACATTTACTCCGCGTTTTTAAAGAGCTGAAAGACTTCACAGCATTTTTAAGGACTTTGTCATCACTCCGGACATTTTAAAAGTTTGAAACCAGTCAGCTAAAGTTTGAGAGCTGTGCTGCTTTAGTTTCCTGCAAACCGTTTTCATCCCAGAAGAATGGACAGAGGAGACGGACGAAGAGACAACCCGATTCAAAGTAAGAGCGTGATCGTTTGGAAGGCTACTGTTATTCCCCATAGGCAGCATGGGCCCCATGTTATTCATGGGGTTCACGACAAAGCAAAGGTGTATACAGTTAATACTAATTCATATTTGGTGCCATAAGCATAAAAACGATGTAAATGCGATAAGAAAATTGTTCTTATTTTTCACGTTGCATTAATGGTTGTCATCAAGAGACCCCGATCTGTACATTACTCATCGGCTAGTAAGCCTTCTCTGGGATCGACTGGTAGTGACTCCACCCTCCACCAGGGGGCTTTCACGCGTTCTCCTCTTTGCATTAAACTACTGCATGACAGAGACAACTAAATATCACTCTGTGATTCTTTCCCCCTGTTTTCAGGGCTGTGACAGGAGTGTGGTCTCTCTTTGCAGTTTTTCTCGTGGATTATCTGACAGTTTGTTTCTACACATGAAAGTTTCTCAAGTTTTAAGGCCTCAGTCACACAAGCCCAGAGGCTGCTCTGAGCCCTGAAAACATCCGTGTGGTACTGTGTATTTCCTGGTGCACTGGGAATACACCTCTCTTTATAAAAAGGATTTAGACTTTGCACTTAATTGTAACAAAATCCTAATAATTTAGTTTAATAGTGCATTACAACAGTGAGTGAGGGCTGAGGAAAACTGACATGAGGACGTTTACACGTTGCTGCTCATCGACTGAAGCCTTTTTTATTTGAAGGAGCAATCACACTGTAATAAGTGTAGTGGGCGTATGTTTGTATGTTCCCTATGTAGTTACTTTGCATAAATTGGAATTTGTGGACAGTTTTCTCATCATGTGAATGATAACAATAATATTTCTGTTTGTTGTTGTAGAGGTACCAGCTGATGAACTGGTTTTTGAACTGCAACAGCGTCCAGATGTTGAAGAGATTCACTCGATGGTCTGCTGCTTTCAATTCGGTCTGTTGCGCGGCCTCTTAACTGAAGAAAACCTCCGTGTTCTGGGCCAAGTTATTAACCAACTGCAACAACATGATGATGAGGAGGACGATCTTCGGAATGATGAGGAAGATGCTGATGTTCCAGCAGCAGGCATAGAAATAAATCCACCTCAAGTAGAAGGACCCTGGGTCAATAACAGAGCAGAGATCCCAGCAAGAGAAATGAAATAAACGCGGCCCAGCAAGCAGAAGATCCTATAGCTGAAGAAATGAGGCGGTTCTGGGATGATGAGGAGGCTGAGAGTGACAGCCTCTCAGCCTCCTCAGTGACACTGATAACAATGACAGTGATGATGATGGAGACATGATGGAGTCAGGATTGTGTTATTGCCCCCCAGCCCAGTACTGGGAGGTTCAAGGAGGAGACCAAGGGAGGAGGAGGATGATGAAGAGGAAGATGGGAGACCCAGAAAACAGTCCAAACACTGAATTTTGCTCCTGGATGCTCAGTGTTGCACCCATCCTCCAAACCCACTGTCCCCCATCCTAACAAACTGAATCTCGCCTTTCCCCCCTCTGACGCACTGACTTCGTTTCCTGCCTCCAGCGACCTGTTCACCTGACTGCCACGTACCACCTGTGGATATCTGTTCAGCCTGTGACCCACTATGATACAAGTGGAATACAACAAGTGTGTGTTTCATACCACTGGTACCTTGTTAGGCGGTGATGATCGGGCTCTTACTGGTCGCAGTTATGGAGGGAGTGGTCCTATTGGTTGGCTCCCACATCAGGGAGGCGGGGTTGGGGCCTTCCTAGCATCATTAATATGGTTTGCCTGTCTTCCTCCCCTCAACCCTGACCGGTCGTGGCAGACAGCTGCCTCCCTGAGCCTGGTTCTGTGGAGGTTACTTCCTGTTTAAACCCAGACCCAGAGCCTTTGGTTGTTCACTGGTGCCTCACAGACGTGATTCTTTAGACTTGTGTGTGTGACTGTTTACTAAAATGAAAGAAGGCATGACAGCAGGGAAATGCAGCCTGTTCTCTTCCTTCTTCTTAAGATTCAAAAGACATTTTAAGCAACAACTTATGGGCTCAAAATGTGGTCATAAATATTTTGTACTTGTAAATCAGGATTTGTATGTGTAAAA